CCCCAAAACCCCAAAACCCCAAAACCCCAAAACCCCAAAACCCCGAGATTCAAATTTTGATACGGAGGGAAGAATTAAAAAAGCAATGTGGTTTTTTTCAAAGTTTATGCAAAATTATATATTGCTTGTGTTTATAAGAATTGGAGGAGTTAGGCAGACTTTAATCTGTATTACGATCCACTTTACCCTCCTAGTTAGCTGCTAGCATATCTGATGCAGATGACTCTTCTCCTCATAGTTGCTTTTCTCTCTCGATCATCTTCTTGACTCCGTTATACATGTCTTGAACGAGGTCTTTCTCTGATCTTCCTAGTCTTCTCTTGTTGGAGATATCGTAGGTAGCATCTGTTGATTCGGAGTGTTCTCCATGGATACCTCTGATTTGTACATAGAATTCATCAGCGATCTTTTGGAACTCATCCCATCTTTGTGAGAGCTTGGGGAGTCTGATATGGACTGAGGCTCTCAAGGCGGTACCGAGGTTAGTTGGACATGAGGTGATATAACCTAAGTGAGAGTCGTGAGCGAACTTAGCGACCTTCTCGATGTGAGTGGTAGCTCTTTGGAGTCTCTCGAAGACCTTGTGGAGATCAGCACCTTGTTGCATAGAGATGATTCTAAGTTGATCCTCTTCGTTAACCCAGACGAGGAAAGTCTTCTCATCATTGTGGAAGATACCTCTGCCCTCTGGCCATTCTCTGTTCAAGTTGCAAGCTTCCAAGAATCTGTCTCCTTCCCTATAATAAAAGTTAATAATCACGTAATCTCAAATAATCGCTTATTATATTTAGTATGAAACAGAGATCAATAAGATACTTGAATAACTACAAAACTTTAATTCCCCTGATGTTGCGCCTTGTCATAATATATATAAATGGCGATTAGCCGAGTGCATTGACTCGGCGAATCTTTATTATATCAAGCACTGCGACACATAGGTTCATTAGGTACTGCATTTTATCCAAGTCCTTAAATCTCTCTCTCGCAGTCTAGAGTGGTGTAGAAACTTACTTGAATAAGAAGTGGTCCTCGATAAGTTTATTTTGAACATCCTTTGACATGCCCTAAAGTGGGTAGAATTTACCCTAGAGGTCACCTTCAAAAGTCTCGAGAGCCTTAACAACAGTGTTCATTATATCAAGTCTTTGCTGTTTAGAGAGACCTGGTCCAAGTGGGTAGTCAGCCAAGTTTCTTCCAACTCTGATTCTGGTTGAGACGATCATGGCGGCGTCTTCTGGTGCGAAGGGTGGGGCCTTGAGCTTTGAAGCGTCCATATCTGAGACATGCTTGGCACTCTTGCCGTGCTTGTGATAGTCAAGGATGATTTTGTCCATGAGTGGGGCGAAAGCAGCATAGGAATCGTGGGATCCGGCATAGACTCCAATACCAGAGTCAGTGTTTTTGCAGCCTGAAAAGATGGCTTGTTTGAATGTGAAGCCATGCTTGTCCTACTTGTCCTTGAGCTCATTCCAGATGGCTGGGGTCAAGTGCTTCTTCAAGAGAGATTTAGTTCCGTCTGGGAAATGTGGGTAGTCAACTACATCCTCAGCAGTCTTAAGGTGAGAGCCGACCAGGGTGGTTGGACCAGTATAGGCAGTATCTTGTACGTCTTTTCCAGATGAGCAACCCATTCTATTATTGAATCTTCTAATTAATTATTTAAAGGAGATCAACCGTACCTTTTATTATTGACTGTTAATTATTTGAAATAAATTTATTTTCCTATATCTATCTGTGACTTAGTCCTACTTAACGGGGTTTTGGGGTTTTGGGGTTTTGGGG